TGCTAAAACTCAAGATTACAAGGAGAAATCAGTTCGACCGAGGTATGCAGTTGTTGGTAAAGAAATGTGTGCAATTGTACTTGGATGGGATGGAGATTGTGAATATTATTTCCTATCTATTGGACAGTGAAGCTGTTAATCAACTGAAGCATTTCCATGTCCAAAACAACAACAAAGTTAAATATGTCATTAACTCCGTCAGCTGGAGTTATTCTCATAATGCCTTCTCCAACCTGGAATCTCTAGCTCTTGAAGACCTTGTGAGTTTGGAAAGTGTATGTTATGGGCAACTCATAGGCGAGCCTTTCCCAAAGTTAAAATCTTTGAGACTCCGGAATCTACCAAAGCTTATTGGTTTCTCTTCCAAAGGCAAGCAATTAACGATTGCTACAGAAGCCGACGAAATCGTTACGGTGGATGAAGTTGGTGGACCATCGAGACTGTTCAATAATGGGGAGGTACTTTCTTAGTTATTTTTTCTAGCAAAATGGTTGCATGTTTCTTTCTCCAAATAGCTTTCTTCTTCGAATTTCGACATATAATTCTTCTTTTTTTTCTTTCAATAAGAAAAAAAGATATAAATGCTTAAGATTTATTTTTTTTTTCCAATAAGCAAAAACCATTTAAATGATATATTATGTTATTAGGTTATGATAGTAAAAAAAATTCCAAAATTGGTCGTCCCCTATTGTTTGAAGGAGCAATTAAATTCAAGGGCGAGGCTTTTGGGTTTGATTTATGGATTTAAAGTGTGAAGGAGATGCAATTGATATTGCTGCTGTTGTGTTTGGGGAAGAGAGAGAGAGAGAGGAGGAGGATGAGCGGCTTCTTTTTCTTACTTGAGTTTGTGGATGGGTGTTAAGTAATGAGACATGCTATAAAAAGGTCACACTTATTTTGTGTGCATAAAATTTGAACTTGCTTTCACAACAATATGTTTTGGTATCAATTAAAATAATTTAAATTTTGATTAAATTGACATAATTTTGGCCCTATATTTCTTCTTGTTCTTTGCTAGTTAATGAAATGACAAAGACATACAGCTGTCTAGTAGCCTAGTTGCTTACTTTTTTAATATATGACCTTTAATTTCTATCTAAATATTTTGAGCACGTATGGCTAACAGCAATGTAAACTGTAATTTCCTAAAATAACATAAATTTTGTTCTGTACTATGCAGGCTACGATGCCCAACTTAACAACCCTGATTGTGCATCAATGTGATAGTTTAAGATTCTTGTTTTCGAGTTCCATGGCTAAATCTCTCAGGCAACTAAAACATCTCAAGATATCCAAATGTCAGGCACTACAAGCAGTATATGACACATCATCTACCACTCAATTGAATGGTTTTGAGTGCCCAAATCTACATTCAGTTGAGATAGACTTGTGTGACAGTTTGAAAAATGTCTTTCCCTCTTCAATGGCCAAAGAGCTTAAGCAGCTAAGCAAGTTGAATGTTGAGAATTGTGGTTTAATGGAGGAAATTGTCGCGAATGACGAAGGACCACAAGCGATGTACAAGGAGTTTAGGTTCCCTAAAGTAACCTATATGATGTTTAATAATCTACCCCAACTTCGGAGTTTTTATCCAGCATTACATGTTTCTAATTGGCCATCACTCAACGTATTAAATTTCACGAAATGTGGTGGTGTGGAGATTTTTGCTGCCGAATTTTCAACATATCAAGACAAACTTGAGTTGGGCCACTCGACACCAATGAAACAGCCTTTCTTTTTAATTGAGAAGGTAACCATACTTGTACACAATTCTTTTGATATTCAAAATTTTATGTGATTTTACGTACTAGTTAAAGTGTTAAACATACACCATCAACTAAATACATTTATTAACTTTTTAATATTAAAATTATTATGTGGTGTCCAGTTTTTCAAAATATTTTAAAGCATGCCGTTACCGTTGATAATATTTCAGGGCAAGTCATTTCTCGACTTGGAATACTTGACGTTGGACGCGAACACGGAGATTTGGTATGAACTGTATGGTCCACTCCTGGGGGAGTGGTTGAGGAAACTCAAATCAATTGAGTTTGCTACGTCACATCCCAAATCAGATGTTTTCTTTGAAAATTTACAGAACATGGAGAACTTCGTGTGCTCTCTGCTCCTTGGAAAGAATTAATTGTCCACGACCACCAAGGAAGTAGTAGAGGGGAAATACATGAAGTTGAGACCCTCCCATATGTAAAGCTTTTGTGGCTCATCGATATGCCAGAGTTGATACATCTAGGAAAGGAAAACTTCCAACCAGGGGACCCTGTTTTTCCAAACTTGGAAGTTCTATGCGTGCACAAATGTGGCAGATTAGAGAATCTAGCTTCAACTTTGATATCCTTTCAGAATCTAACCATTTTGAATATATGGAGTTGTCACGGACTGCGATACTTAATACCTTATTCTGTCGCTAAGAATTTGCAGCAACTCAAGAAGTTGGAAGTTGAGTCCTGCCAAAGAATGGTAGAAATAGTAGCGAGCAACGGAGATGATCCAGAAAATGAGATTACTTTCAGTTGCTTGCAACATCTTGAACTTTCTGATCTACCAAGTCTGCAAGGCTTTTGCACGGGAAATTGCATTTTCAAGGTCCCACATTTAGAAACTTTTATTGTCAAGGACTGCCACCTGACCAAGTTAACGATTTCTCCTGATGGGTTACTCCAAAGTGATCCAAGACTAGAAATAGCAAAAGAAACTGATGATGAGGAGAATGATCGTGATCAAACCGTAAGTTCTTCATTCACTAATTAAGCATCTGTTAATTTCACTCTCCAATTTTCAGCTTTTTCTGAACCTTGAACCGTCAAATTTAATAGTCTGATTTATTCATCTTATTCATAGTTGTTCAGTCAGATTTCATATTGAACAGTTTGTGTTTATATGTAATCGTCAATGAAATACATATTTCTACAGGAGCAGCGGATGATTGTGGATTCAAATGTAGATGTTACATTTGCATGACTCTCTGCCAAAAAGGAATCCTCAATTTTCGCGGTGTGTTAAGGTTTTCCAATTGTGTGCGATAGCGTGTTTGTGTGTTATTTTCCTCTTCCTTTTAAAGGAAGAAATTTCAGCTTGGAAAGCAGACTGGAAGGCACTCTGATCTGTTGGACCACACTACGCATTCCCCACAAATCACATTGGTGTGCTCATATTTTTAGATGGAGACCACTATTTGTCATATTCCAAGAACAAGATGAGCACCACTCTAATCATCAGCGACCGCTTATCGGATTTAAGCTTTCAAGCTTCCGCCTTGTGTGATTTCTGTTGGCCATATTATGTTTATGTATGATTGCTTGGACCCTTTTGGCTTTGGGGTTATTGAGGATGCACGCTATCTTGGCTTTGGCGTTATTGTGGTTGCTACTTTCAGTATACTTATTTCCAATATTTCTTGTTTACTTGCTCAAACTATTCTCTATTCCCCCCTCAATGGTCTGTGCCCAGCCTTGCTTCCGTGGCCGATCGCATCTTGTTTGATATTAGCCCGCAAGCTGCGGCCTCAATGGAAAGCTATCCCAGAAACTTGTGTGCAATTTGGGAAGTCATGTATGCTTGTATTGACTTGTGTGTTTCGTCATAAGGGTGTGTTTTGTATTTGGAGCTTTGTTCGCTACATTTTCGGTTTTGGTGTTTGGGAAATAATGCTTGTGTGATTTCTGAATTGGTTTTTGGGATGCACCTCAATTTCCATATTTTCTTCACACTCTCTACTAGGGTTGGGCAAACGGGTCCTGGGCCCGCGGGTAGGGGCGGGTATAGGCGGGTCGGGGCGGGTACGGGGCAGGTCCTGTTTTTAAATAGGGGAAACGGGGCGGGGCGGGCCTAGGTAATGGCATTCTAGGGTCGGGCCGGTTCCAGATTTATAGAAAAACGGGGCCCCGAACCGGCCCGTTTGTAATTGAAATGGACGGCCCAGATTGAAAATAAACATACCTTCCAATCATGACCGTTGGTTTTACCCTAATTGATTCAGTGAGATGTGAGAGTCTTTGCAGTCTCTCGATCGACCTTGACCTCTCTGTCTCTGACCTCGACCTCTCCGTCTCTGAACTTTGAACTCTGAAGTCCGTCTTTGATGTGAGAGTCTTTCTTCTTGATTGTTCTCCTCGACCTCTCCGTCTCTGAAGTCCGACCTCACCTCGACCTCGACCTCTCCGTCTTTACTCTCTCTCGACCTCGATCTCGATCTTCTTCTTGATTGTTCTCCTCGACATCTCATCCTAGACCCAGGCACCCACACAACCCATCTTCCGATTCTTGTTCACTCTTTCCCGACGACATCACCGCCGTCGCGATCAGGTGAATTCTTTAACCTCTTTTTTTTTTTTTTTTTTTTAATAGGTTCTTTAACCTCTGATCTGATGTATGTAATCTGTTCTGTGCTCAATATATTGGGATGTTCATGTTTGTTCTTGCTAATTTGGTGGATTTTTTTTATTTTTTAGCTTGTTTTCACATCCAAATGTTGAGTAGAAGTCCTTGTATTTCACATATATTCTGAAGAATCTGAAGTATTTCCAAGCATATTGATTTGCAATCCGGAGACATCCATTCTATTTCTGTTCATTTTTAAAATTTTTAATTTATTTTCATTGCCATATTTGTTAAAGGTTTCAAATTAGGATCTGAGAAGCATACTGATACAACAGAGGTTTCAAATTATTTTCATTGTCATATTTGTTCACTCTGTTTAATTGTGCTGCGGCTGCTGCCTGCCTGTCCAATTTTACCTTGTACTTTTTGTTTAAGGGTGGAATTCTCGGGGCATTAGACTTAATGTGTAGATTATTTGCTATCAATCAGAAAGCATTTTGGTAAAATGTCATGAATGGTGAGTGCATGCATGTTGCTGCATGTTACTGGCCTGCACACAATTGGTTATTTGGATGGTTATTTTTCTTCTCTCTTGGCATATAATTATGTTCCATGTCATGAACTCCAAATTGATTTTTTTTTTTTAATCAATTATGCAATTTAGTAACTCAGCGCAATTGTTCCTGCACGGGAAAAGCAAACAATTGTAAGATCTGCAATAAGTAAGGTACCAGAATGATTGGAGATATCAGAATGATTGGATAAATGTGGATGGGAAACCAGAATATTATTTTCATCTTTGAAGTGTTTGTTTCTCATTTATACTGTCATGACTCATGTCATTTTCTTCTGGTGCAGTTCCGCGCAGCTATTCAGTTGCAGTTTGATTTCCATTGAGCAATTTACAATCTTGGAACCGTATTGGTTAGTTTGTTACTTATCTTAATAATTTTAGGATAATGTGATACTCCATTCATAATTTAAATGGACTCTCAGTTTCCTCTATAGTGGATAACAAGAAACCACTGGTTCTCTTATCTAATAATCCCCCGTAACTTGAATTACCAAACCTTGGTCTTTTTCTTACTTGCAGTACGGATTGGCTGAGGACACACTAAGAACTGGGGGATCTGGACACCCCAAAGAAGTTTCACCTAATGAGTTGTATGGTCAATCGGCTATCTACATTGCAGCTGCTCATGCTTTGAAACCAAATTACAATGTAAGGTTCCCATAGTTTTCTTTCTCAACCAATTTGATTTGATATTTATATGGAGAAAAGGATATCCCTTCAGTGAGAGAGACTTAATTTTCCTAATTCTTTCAGTGGTCATACCTTGATGTCTGCTTAATCTCGTTGGTTGAGAGATTATATTTTTGGTTTGCTGACATGATAATTTCTAATCTTCACAGCTTCCTTTACCATATCTTAAAGTTGGATATCTTACTGATCGTGATCGTGATCTGACTTTACCACCTGACTTTACCACCTGGTGCTGGTGAATCTGTAGTTCTGTACAATTTTTTTTTTCTTTCAAACAACCAAAAAAAAAAAAAGGGACCCGTGGACCCTGCCCGAACCGGCCCGTTTCAACCGGGCCAGGTAATGTCCGGTTCTTATATTAAAAAATGTAATCCCCGGCCCGGCCCGCCCCGTTCCCTTTGAACTTAGGTCCGGTCCGGTCCCTTCAAAATTGGGCCCGGCCCGGCCCGTGCCCAGCCCTACTCTCTACTAAACTTAATGAAATACTCATTTTATTTCTTCCCATGTTTTGCCTCTTTTTTTTCTTTTTTTCTTTCTTGTATTTTGCTTCTCTGATACGCAAAAAATATCATTTCCAACCATCTTCTTAAGAGCATCTCATATACATTGAGCTTCTAACTAGAATTTAAAGAGGACTAGTAGTTACTGTGGCTTTAGCCTGTGCATTGCCGCAAGAATGTCAAATGAATTCTAAATATTGTTTGTGTTAAAATAATGGACTAAACCAGAAATATGCATAAAAGCTCACTGAATATTCAATTCGATGCAAATAGATTCATTTCAAATAAGAACCGACCCAAAAATGCACTTAAAAGCTCATTGAATTACCAAATTTGACTAATTTGGGCAATTAGAAAAATCAATTATTTTGGTTATAAATATTCAATTTTATTCATTTTAAATAAGAACCAAACCAAAAATGCTACACAAAAAGTCACTAAATAACAAAATTTCAACAATTTGAGCAATTGGTTGGATCCTCAAAATAAATCAAAGAGCAATAATTCAGAGAAAGACTATGTGGAGGAAAATACCATCAGCAGCCATGCCAAAAACAGAGAGATTTCTTCGGCTCTACGATAACAATCAACATCAATAATCAAACCTCATCGTAGACCATTTTAAATGAAACGAAGAGAGTTGTCTTACACAGTTACATGCATGGAGCCCATGCCAAATCTATATCTATGAATTCTGCAAAACATCACACAACCATCCTCTCAGAAGACAACAAACAAAACAATACGGAGACAGACTTGAACCAAGAACATAAAGATGAGACCTTTTAAAGTCTACCAAGGACAAATACACATTTGTGGCTAAATCCCTTAAGATTTGGTGCAACATATTGACCTCGCTCAAAATTCCCTTTTAAGGGAAAATTCCATCGAAATAGGCGAACTCAGGAAGCTTCATTACCTGGATCTTGGTGAGAATTCCTTAAACTCTTCAATCGCTTTTGAGCTTGGTTTTGTAACCATCACCGGAGTTGTGCAGCAGATTCGATTTGCAAGTTTCAATGTGAACAATAACAATCTAACAGGGTATTTGCCAAAGTGCTTGAGGAATTGTTCGGCATTGTCTAGAGTCCAGTTTGATGGGAACCAATTTACTGGGAACATTATAAATGCATTTGCTGTTCATCCCAGTCTTGAATTCATTGCTTTTAATGACAACCGGTTTGTTGGTACACTCTCACCACAGTGGGAAAATGCATAAGCATTATATATATGTGTATGGGTTGAATAAAATTTCGGGTCCAATCCCACCTGAGCTCGGACAAATGACAGAACAGTAGCTTCTAAACTTGAGCCAGAACCACTTGACTGGAGAAATACCGGCACACATTGGTAACTTACTCCTGGGTTACAACTTGGACCTTAGCAGCAATTCTCTCTCCAGAGTGATACCTTCAGACTTGGAACAGCTCACAATTTTATAGGTTCTCAATGTCTCACACAACCATCTCTCAGGGGAAATCCCTACAACAGTTATAAAAATGGTGAGTGTATCCACCTATGACTTTTCTTATAACAACTTGACAGGTCCAATCCCAAATTGTGTCATTTTCCTAGAGAATATTCCAATTGCTCACAATCTTAAATCCAACTACATTTCTCAACGCCCAAATGTCCACATATGAGAAACCAAAACAGAGCCTTAAAGGGGGGGAGAAGAAAGAAAAAAAACGGAAGAAAGGTACTGTTCGACTCCTACAGTGTCAGTAATGGTTTACCCTTTATTTTGGCAAAAGTTTCCCATTTTGTTGGAGCACTGGTGGCCGTAGAAAACAAAAGAATATGTCATTGGCAGTCAGACCTTTATGCTAAGAATACAATAGCAACTCTTAAATCGGTTACAGAAAAAATAAAAAAAACAGCATCATCAACAGCCTTTTTGCATACACTAACATTTTAGTCAACCAATTTACATGATAGGAACCGTAAATTGGCAGCACAACAAAAGGGGATCAACAAAAATCTCAACAGTTACCTGAAACTACCATTCCACTTGTTTTCAATTGTGAAGCACTATACATGTATTCACTATCAAATGCTCATAAACATGATCTAACCTATCAAAAAACATTGTTTGAGAATCGTAAACTAAGAGGAATGACGTACATGCTTCTATCCTGGCAGTTTAGTTTCAGGAAGCAAACAACTGCACAATGGGACCGTTTATGTCTTCAGTTGAATGTGAGTTGAAAAGACTATTCGCAATAGCTTAAACCAACTCGGTCCCTTTCGTTATTCATTCCTTCACTAATTCCTCCCTAAATACCATAAAAATAATAAATAATAAATAAAAAAAATCAGAATTTCCCCCACTGAACAAAAACCCATCAGCATAGCGTGAAAATTTCACTATTTCACTTAAAGACTGCCATTTCACTGATGGGATTAATCCAAATAAAATCCCAATTTCCAAAAGTAAATTTTCAATTAATCTCTCATAAGCAATCATTTCAAAAAGCCCAGAAGTACACAAAAATATTACCAAAAAATAGAGATATATTGAATAAGTAAAGAAAAATAACTTAGAGACCATGAAATTACCCAGATCGACTTGAATATGCTGCTGCCGGGTTTCCATTGCTGCTTTCCTGCAGTTGTTTTTCATCCTCTCCATTCGACAGTCCAGGTCTGCAACCCCAAAAACATGCAGAAACGATCAGCTTCACGGTCGGATTATCAAATCATTCGGTGACAGGACCGACATACACGCAAATAAAAAATTCATCAATTTGTTTTTTCTGAATCCATAATTCAGATTCGAGTTCGAATTCAACGGAAAAAAAAAATACATAAATCCATTAAAAATTTTGCCCAGATGAAAAAAGAAATAAAGGATGAGTTAGAAGCTTTTAGCAGAGAGTTGACCTCAACAGGGAAAAATTTAAATGGAAATTGAAGCTTTACCTGCATAACGGCAGCAGAACTTGAACGATCTCGAGGTTTTTCGGTGGAGGTATTCATCAATTTCTTTCTTGAACTTGTTATTATTAGCCAATTTCCCCCTCAACTTTAATTTTGGCCAATTTGCCTCTCAACTCTCATAATTAGTCAATTTCCCCCCTCAACTTTAATTTAGCCAATTTGCTCCTCAACTCTTATAATTAGTCAATTTCCCCCCTCAACTTTAATTTAGTCAATTTCCCCCTTCAACTCTTATAATTAATCAATTTACACCCTACTGTTAATTTTTTAATTTGATCATAATTAAACAAGTGTGTGTAAGAAACTAAATAAGATGTATGTTAATCATGTTCCTATATCTTTATCCTATTACAAATAGATTAAAATTTAGAATTTTACAATTTATCATAGATAGTATTATTAGTCATGATAAATCAATATGAAGTAATTTTATTTGATTTTTGACTATACAAAATTGATAACGAAAATGATTGATGTGTAAATTTTTGTATGTGAATACAATTTTCTTTATAAAAATGAAAGCTAAGTTCAAGTAAATTACGGAGAATCGAACTTTAATGAAAAAATGGCTAGTTTATTCATAATTTTCGACTCCGAATAATTCATTTTATTGAAATAGGTCTGATCTATGAGTTTAGGATTATTATTTCTTTTTGTTATTATTTCTTCTTCTACATGCTTTAAACCCAATTCATAACTTTTTCTTATAATCAACCCATATCACATACTAATTGTATTATATTTTTGTACATTTTACCCTATATTATGCAGGTGAGTTTATGTTAATTTTAGTACTTTGTTGGAAGTTATTAGAAAGATTGAAAATTAAGAAAAGAATAGATGGAAAATTAAAAATAAAAAAAATTAACAGTAAGGTGCAAATTGACTAATTTTGAGAGTTAAGGGGAGAAATTGACTAATTATGAGAGTTGAGGAGAGAAATTAGCTAAAATTAAAGTTGAGGGGAAAAATTAGCCAATGTCACAAGTTGATGAACACCTCTTTTCGGTTTTGGCATTCCAGGGATTTCACGACCGACTTCACTGGAATCCAAATTTCACCACTGACCTCACATAAAATCCCTAAAATCCCAAATTCCAATCCCTAAAACAAATCATAATTTCAAAAACCACAAACACGCAAAATCCAAATCAAATCTGCATGTCATTTCAGATTTTAACGATAACCCACCAACCCAATACACACAAAAGAGTAAATTACCTGAAATCACGGATGCTCTAGAAGTTTCGAACGGCATGCAGATTGTGGGTTCCGCTGTTTGAGGATTAATGACGAACAGGTGGTGAGCACTCTGACGCCGCAAGATTGGGAGGCGTGGAGGTGCCTCAGAGCTGGCAGCGAGTTGAGGGAATTGAGTTTGAACATGATCTTCTTTGCTCTTAGGCGGACTTCTGTGAGATGAAGCAGTATTGGAGTCCTGACAATGGAAGGAATAGATGAGATTTTGTAGAATCAGATCACCGCGTAGACAGCATGGGCAATTTCGTAATTTCATGGTACCAGTTACGAATTGGAAGGATTAGTTACACTTATTTCCTGATGTTTATCAAGTTT